TATTAATGGAGGGGTGTGTGTGTGTGTGTGTGTGTTTGGGGAGACCTGCATGTCTGAGCGTAGCACTGGGCAGAAATGCTTTCATCATCCAGCATCCAGCCAGAGGTTTGCCTGGATTCCCATCAGATGAAGATTCGTTACCCCTTACGAGGCTGCCTGTCTTGCCTGACAGGTGTTGTACCTGTCACTCGGGACAGACAGCTGCCAAGAAATATATGCAGGAATTTCCTTCATGGACTCTGAAGGCTAAAACCATCCTTAAGATTCTGCTGTTCCTTTAATTTGAATTTTGGTCTGGGTTTTACTTTACCTAAGAATGCCAAGCTGGAATGATTTCCCCCAGATGCAAACTTAAACACTGTAAGTGGTTTCATGCGCACAACCGAAAATAGTGTAATAATTACAACATATCTTTGGACCTCTGCTGTATCCTGTGTTGACTTTTTCTGCTTCCCAGTTCTAGTTTCTAAGGTTTATTGCTGAGTTTTGGTGCATACATATGTGTAGGTTTGTTTCTTTCTTGAAATAGAATTTGAAGTTTGAGAGAAAAGTATGCATCCTGTTGTCCTTGATTTTTATTATTTCATTTTCTGTTGGCACCTAAGAGGTAGCAAGGCAAGGCTGCCAAGATCCTATATTCATCTGGGTTTTCACAGCCTTTGCGAGATGTCTTCGTCTTCATAGACACGTCCGGCTTGGCCAACCAGGTAGAAAAACTAAAGGTTTCGATGTAACCAAATAAAACTGAATCCTTAGTCATTCCTTCCCTCTTCTTTGTTGTTATATCTAGTGATTAACCCAGAAAGGTTCAAGGAGAGAATTCAGGAAAACCGTAAAAAAAGTCAAAGAGAAGCAGATTACTTTGTTGTTTTGTGGAGTACTTGAATAAGAATCTGCTGAATGTCTACTTTTAACTTTCTTTCCCCTACTTGGATAAATACTATCCTTAGGTACTTAATTGTTTTTCCCCCAAAATAAGATAGACATGCACATAAATATTTAAGGATTATATTTCCTATAATGGCATATTAACACAAGTCCAGCTTTTTTTTCAGTACTTGGGATTGGACCCAGGGCCTCCTGACATACTAGGCATGCACCCTACCATTAAGCTATATCCCAAGCCCATTTCACTTTTTTTATTTTGAGATAGGGTCTCACTAAGGTGCCCAGGCTGTACTTGCCCTTGTGATCCTCCTGTCTCAGCCTCCCAAGTAGCTGGGATTACATTTCTGTGCCACAGTGCCTGGCTTTCTACTTAATCTTCAATCTCAGCTTTTGTTCCCCAAATCCAGTACTCAGTCCAGAATCTATGACCTTTGTTATAGTGCCTGCTGGTTAGCATTAATGACCTTGCTGTAGAATGCCCATCCAAGTCCTGAAATCAGCCTGTACTCCACTTAAGAACTAGTTCCAGGCTTGAAATTGTGTCCACCCCAGAAGATACGGCTTTTTCTAATTCTTACAAAGATGCTATGCTGAGTCTGCTCTACAAGAATACTAAAGGGAGTCACCTGAGTTTAGAACTTGAATGAATACTAGCCATCATGAGAACCTACCTCCCCATTTGTGCCTCGTGCTTTTGCATTCATGTACCTTAATCAAGATCGGATGGATTGAAACAGACACAGAATTGGTATGTTTTCTGATTCTCTGTGTCTCCTAAAATTCCACTAATTTTCTGCAGATTTTAGAAAGTTGGAGTGTAGCCTCCTATTCTTTGGACACATTTGGAAAAGCACAAGCATAAGACCAAGTGTAGTCTTAGTGACTACAATCTTTTTGGCATCTACTACATGGCAACAAAGGGTTAATGTAAATCTCACATTGGACTAGGCAGAGAGGAACAGTTAAGACACTAAAACGATGCCTTCGATGGAGCTTGAGCAGCTAAGGATTTTAGTTGTATATCAAGAATGAGTGAGCAAACAGGAAATCTCTTTGTTCAGTGCCTCTGGACCAAGATGCAAAGTTGGAACTAACCAGAATGTTGTTTACTAGAATATTTGCATATTCAGCTAGGACAGGGAATCTCAGTAACTCAGTGTGAGTGGTTTCTTTAAGTGGGTATCTTCATGATACATCTTGTGAAAGATCGCAATGTGTTTTTGAATTAGAACTTGACCATAACTTCCTACTGAGTAGTTTTGTTGCTTCCTCTTCCCTCCAGGGAAAATATATTTCTTGACAAAAGTGCTTCCATGAGGATCAATCAGACCCATAATTTCCAGGGTATGTCAACCACCATATACAGTCTACTGGATCCTCTTTATGTACATGAAAATGATGTTCAATACGAGAACAGTAAACCAACAATACCCATGCCCATAATCAATTGCTGGCCACATGTGGTGGGACATTGCTGAAAATTTTGGCTCTCTGATAGGTTGAAGGAAGAAGATTGCAGGTTCATGACCAGCTGAGCAATTTAGTAAATTTTTTTAAAAGGCAAGGGACTAGGCTTAGTGCAAAGACTGTGCATTCAATCCCTAGAACTGAAAAAAAAAAAAAAAAAAAAAAGCCAGCTGCCTTGTTTATGCTACATTTACTGTCTGCAATGCTATACTTATTAGAAATATTTTCCTGAAGAAAATTGTCACAAAATATTCAAAACCTTTAATTAATTAGAAACTTGACCTTTTCTTAAACTAATTATTTGGGATCATTATCAAGGTATTTATGAAAGTATGTTTATGTTTTATGATTTGGTGGAAACCATTTTTATATAGGTTTTCTGTTGTTATTTTTAATCTTACCATATATTTGTTTACTGAGAAAGGTGTCATTTGTTACTTCAACTCCACCTATTGAATGAAGTAAGCTTTTATGTTGCATAGAAATTTAATTTCTCTGAAAAGCCATTTGAAAAAAATATATAAAAATGTGTGACAAAGAAAGAGCAAAAAAGGGGAAGAAAAGGAAATTGAGAGATTATCATGAGAATTTAAGAATTGCATGCCTAACAGCACATGTGATATAAAATGAAAAGTAGTAAATCTTAATTTCCTTCCATCCCTGTATAATTTGCCTCCAGATCCCTCCTTCCTTTCCTGGCAAACATTTGGACAGGAACGTAGTGGGTGGGCCAGCCAGATAGATTGGCCTCCAAGGCGAGGAGAGCCGTGGTCTCCTAAGCCCTGCAGTGCAGCCAACTCCACCACTGCTGCTTCCTTTAGAACGTGTCCATAGCAGGCTCTGGGAAATGAGCCCTGGCGCTTATGCCTGGATGCATTTTTCTCCTTAGTGATAATTAAATGTGTAATTGAGGGGCGTGGCCCTGTTTGGGAGGAGGATGTCAGGAAGGAACAGAACTGGTGATCAGCACGCATTCCACCCCATTTATGCAAGGTCTGAATCTCATTCTGTGAAGTGACTGAGCTGTGTTGAACATTCCATAGTGCTTGGTGGGCTGAGTGCTGTATTGTGAGACAAGTGGAGTTTCTCTGAGATGGACTCTTCCACCTCACCTCTCTGTGCCTGTCTCTTACCATGCCAAACTAATATGTCCCATCGGAACTTGCTTTCTTCAGTGCTCCAAAGGTGTCCAAATTGCTCAATTACTCTGGAGTGCCCGTGGGTTCCATGCACTGGTAATCACAATATGGATTTTTTTGAAAAGAATTTCAGATATGTAGTATTTTCACTCAAATAATAAATTTCTATTTTAAGATTAAACATGATTTTTAATGTTCAACATCACTGTCCATTAGACAAATACAAATTAAAACAACACTGAGATTCCATCATATTCCAGGAAGAATGGCTCCCATTAAGAAATCAAATAATAGCAAATGCTGGTGAGGCTGCTGGAAAACTGGAACCCTTCTACATTGTTGGTGGGAATATAAACTAGTACAGCCATTATACAAGTCAGTATGGAGATTACTCAAAAAACCAAAGATAGAAATTCCATTCAACCGAGGTATTTTCCTTCTAGGTATCTTCCTGAAAGAGTTAAAGATGTTATGTTACAGTGGTATATGCATACTCCTGTTTATGGCAGCATAACTCATAATAGCTAATCTTGGAAGTGGCTTGTATATCCATTAACAGATGAGATAAAGAAAATGTGGCATTTATACACAAAGGAGTACTACTTTGCCATGAAAAGAGTAAACTTGAGTCCTTTGTAGGAAAATGGCTGTACCTTGAGACAACAATTTTAAGTGAAGTAAATCAGACACATAAGCTTAAATATCTCGTGATCTCTCTTACATGAGAAACATAAAATAAATAAAATAAAAGCTATGTACTGGGAAATAGGGAGATAGACCTTTGTAAAAGGGAAGGGGGCCAAGCGATGGAGGGAGGTCACTGGAAGAGCATGAAAAAGGAATTGCAGTGCATTATCTATGGTCACCAGCTCCCCACGAGGAATGCAATTATGTACTGCAATTATGCACTCAGAAAAAGTTGAAAAAATACAATTAAGTGTGCTTTTTAATTGAAAAGCTAACAAATTGTCTAGTTACATTTCTGCCAAAGTCCCAGAAACTGGGTTATAATTGCCCCTTAAGGCAATGTATCAGAAGTTGAAAATAACAATAAAATGTAAGACCTTAGGTCCAGCTAGGGGAGCCCTGCTGCATAGAGGCTAATCAATGCCAGTGGTACTGCTTGACTCTAGAGGCTGAAAAACATCCTACTAACCTCATGATGAACATTTACTTCGAGTATCTGTTTTCCAGTTTGTAACTCATGAATATAACGTGTCAATTCCATTTCCTAAATATTTTTATAAGTTATTCTACTTGGGATGCCAGCTGTAAATACTCACTAAAGTTAACCAGGCAATAACCAAGGCAGAAATAACTTTACATAAAGAGAAAAAGCCCAGCTTCCCATTTCCTATAGAGAACCTGCACTTCAGTTTTATTCAGAGTAAGGAAAAAAGAAATGTCCCAGCAGGTTAAAAAAAAAAAAAACCTCAGACGTATGTGTGGGATTGGTACTCAAACTACACGTACAATGAGGACAAATGTTATGCAAATGTAACTTACTTGCTGTTGCCTTTGTCTGTGTTTGTTCCATATTGACAATGATACACAGAACAAGTGTAACTAGAATTTTCCACAGTCCATGCAATGGTAAGTGTTTGGGATGGCATTTCATTTCTCCTCACACACTGGCTCTTTTTGTGTCTCTGGGCTTCCTCCTCTTTGGTAAAATATTTTTATATTGAAGCTCTTGAGAATTTCCTCAGGAGTTTTCCCCTTGATCATACTGGTAATAGACTTGCAGGTAACATCAAGCAAACCTTTGATGTCTAAGTCATTTGCAGTCAGAATAAGTTCAAAAGAGTTCTTTCTTTAACTCTTAGGAATTTCTGGTCCCAAATAGGGGTATCTTCTGTCTACTTTTCTTTGTTCTCATCATTCTCAGAGGGAGGAGGGCTATCCTTGGGCTGAGTTCTCCCTGATTGACCCTTTGGTAGAGGAACTGGGTCATCATTGTCTTCACTGTCCATTCCCAAGCATGGCAGCAGGGTCTTGATAGTAGCAGACTGGCTGGAAAATCCTACATCAACCTCAAATTTCTCTCCATTAGAACTCAGCAACTTAATGAAAGGCCTGATCTTTGGTCTTAAGGAGGAGGCAGATGAAAGCAAGATGGCATCCACTGGAGGACAACAAGGACAGACAAATTTCTTGATAGAACTTCAGTACAAAGGCCCAGAAAAAATGAAAAGGTTTTGACTGACAAAACCTTCAGGGCTGTTCCTTAAGCAACATCATCCCACTTGGCACTTTGTTAGAGGGGTCCCTGCTTGCCTACATTACTTCATCCTAAGCTTCAGGCGGAGGGCTGAGATGTAAGACACAGTATCTATGAAGAGTTTAGATTTCTTGCTTTACTTTTTGGCTTTTTGGACAATGATGCTTAAACACTATAAGTAAAGCACACCTGGTGCCAATGAGGAAAACTGAATTTTCTTGTGATATCATATGTTATTTAACCTTTTTAAATTTTCACCATCTGTTGTTTTTTAATGGGAATATTCAAGAAAACTAAAATATTGTTAGTACCCATGGTTGGAAAGAATAAATGACTGCTGTGATCACTGTTGGTAGTAGATATTTATTTAAATATTAGACATGGATGATTTGAAAAATAAAAAAGAAACTAACATTTGGGGTCCATTCAGTATTCCCTGAGTTTAGGCAATGTGTAGACACTGTTTCATCAAATCTTCCCAGATCTCCAGGAAGTAAGTTATAATTTTCAGTTGGAAATTGCAGTCATAAGTAAGCAGACTCAGACTGGCATTTATTAAGTAATTTGCCCCAGTTTTTAGAGCTATTGAAGAGCTGAGAACTGATCCAGCTCCTAGTCAGAGGCAATGGGCTGTTGCATAGTAATTAAGAGGAAAACCTTTGAGAAGATATATACTGGGGGGCCGAAAACATGTTCACAGAGTTAAGTGCACTAGTTATGTGGATATAGTCAGGGAACATCATGAGCTTCTATATCCTCATCATCAAACTGGAAATAATCCAATTTTTCCTAGTTGTTGAAAAAGAGAATTTTAATCACACTATGTTTATTTACTTTGCAAAAGCATTGTATATACTTTTATAAGAGATACAAAAAAAAGGTTAAAGGCCTTCTAGGGTGATACATGACATAATTAATTGGAAAAGAGACATTTAAAAATTATATGTGATGAACATTATTGGACATATTGATAGGGCTTCATGTGATATTTCAGCACCTCCATGCAGTGAGTAGGTTTGAGAACATCTCCTCTTGAGAACAAGCATAGCACAGAGGGAAAGAACCCTGGTGTTTTAGTCTGAATGTATATGTCCTCCAAAATTCATATGTGGTGAGGCTAAGCCTTTAAGAAGTACAGACTATACTTTTCTTAAGACAGTATCACCGATTTTGTGCTCAGTTTCCAAGGTTCTAATAAGTACTGACAGTTTCTTCTACTTGAAATTTCTTTTCTATCTTCCTTGCAGACGTCTCTGTCTTTTGAATAAAGCATGTGAAGTCAGGTGTCTGGCCTTGCTCCTGCATGTCTGCTGGTTTAGACCGCTTTTCTCTTCCACAGCTGGATTGTGCAACCACCCTGATCACTTCAACCTGTAGGCATGCCCTCCCATTCTCAATAGCCATAGTGCTGAACAGATGCTGAACAGATGCCACACAGGTCATTTAGTACAAATTGCCCTGGAGTCAGTCTCTTTCCTTTCTCTCCTCTCCCCTCCCCTTCCCTTCACTTCCCTACCCCCATTTCCCTCCTCCATCCACTTTCTGCTCCTCATCTAGTCATAGTCATCCTCCTCCTGCTCCTCTTTCTCTTCCTCTTCTTTTCCTTCTCTTCCTCTTCCTCACCCTCCTCTTTTCCCTCTCTTTCCTCTTCTTCCTCCTCCTCATCCTTTTCCTTCTCCCTATCTCTATATTTATCTATCTGTTTATCCCTATCCCTATCCCTATCCCTTTCCCTGTCCCTGTCCCTGTCCCTATCCCCATTCCCCTTGTCCCTAGCCCTAGCCCTAGCCCTAACCCTAGCCATAGCCATAGCCCTATCAGTATCCCTATCTCTCTCCCTGTCCCTGTCTGTCTGCCATGCTGGAGATGGAGACAGACTTTCTATGACTGACCTACATCTCCAGCCTGGCTTGAAGTTTTTGTATAGTATTAATGGATATGCATTCATGTATAAGAATGAAGAGTAGTTTATAAAGTCCTTAGTGTTATAGCATTGGTTTATATTGCTATACTTTATAGTATAGAAGATAATCAGTGGATATTAGTTGATTGTTTTGATTGTAGAGAAAAGGGAGAAAGAATAAAATGACCACTATGTACCAAGAACTTCATATAATTATCTGTGTAAAATACATTCAAACAGTTTTCTTCAGTCAGTTGCAATAGATTATAGGAGAAAGAGTCCTTCCCTGTGTTTCACAGTCACAATTTAGAAAATAGTTTTTGTTCTGTATTTCATCTACCTGGGTTAACATACAGAAACATGATGAACAGTTAGAAGCTCTTTGCAAACATAAAATACAAGGAGAATACCAAGTAAAAGGACTGATCAATACACAATTGAGCTTTAAAATTCTTTCATCTACTAAAGCTGGTTTTCTTGGCAGCATAAGCTAGCGCTTGAATTTTTAAAAAATATGTCATCTATGTATTGATTGAATTTATTAAAATGCTTTATTACCATATCTATTTGCTTATAAGAAGGCTTCCTCATGTCAAATATGTCTTAAAAGACAGTCTTACAAATGAAAATAACGCAGAGCTACCAATGCAGCATAGCATTTAAAATAACATCTTTACTCATTTTTATGTACACAAAGGAAAAGAACAAAAGACTGAAAACCTTCTAGAGTGAACCTTTTAGACTGAATTTTATAATTCAGTGTAGAATGCACATTTTAATTAGAGAACAACTCTCCCTGAGAGTGTGCGTGGCAGAGGGGAAAAGAACTCTGATGCTGCGGTCTGAATATATGTGTTCCTCAAGAATTCCTATGTTGGAACCTGCTAATAAATGATAGTACTAAGACATGGGGTTGTTGGGAAGTCACTAAGTCATGAGGGCTCTGCGCTCATGAGTTGATAAGTACTCATAAAAGAGGTTGAAAGGAGCACCCTAATGTTTTTCTCTTCCACCTTCTTTCCGTGGAAGGCCAGAGTAAAAGGAGTCATCTATGGAGCAGAGAGTGAATCTTTATCGGCTATTGAATCTGCTGGTGCCTTGATCTTGGACTCCTCAGCCTCTAGAGCAGAAAGAAATAAATTTATATCATGTGTCAATTACCCTGTCTGAGATACTGTTACAGCAGTACAAATGGATTAAGATACCTCGCTCCCAGGCTCAGGAGTATCTCGGTGCCTTTGAGGCCTTAAAGGACATAAACCTTCAGATTCAGCACATGTTCAAGTGAAAGAGAAGGTATATGTAAAGAAGTATTGCATTCCCATGTTTGGCTTGTTGGAACTTACTCTGAAAATTATTTAATGGTTGTCAAAAAGCAAGTTATAAATTTTTAGAGTATTTTCAGAATACCTCTTTGTGAACTGTCTGATTCTTATCAGCATAGAAGATGGGGTGCATTATGTTACCTTTGTTATTTTTTTCAGCTGTAAACTGACTTGAGTCCAGAAATAAAGGAAATGGAAATAAATTAGGAATTCCTTAGGAAGAGCAGTAATTGATAGAGGATATTTATATGTACCAAATGTATATTAGCAAGAACCAAGACATGCTACAGATTTAAGAGTAGATCTGGATAAAAAAATGCATAGAACCCCCTTACAGCAAGGATAAAATATTCACAGTCCAGGGAGATTACTGAGAATGAAAGATTGGGATTATTTTTTCACACGTGTGGAGGTTAATGCGATGGACATCCTGGGAAAGGTATTAGAGAAAGGCCAAAGGAAGCAGAAGAAATCCTGAGCACTTTGCTTCCTTCACAGAACAGAGAAGCAAAGACTCACGGTTTCATTTGGACAAAAAAATTCAAACCATAGCAAAAAAAGAACAACAGCAAAAAAAAACAACAACAACAACAAAAAAAACCCTTCCAGGTAACAAGGCTGTTAGCTCAGAAATCTGCCAGTCAAAGTCTAGATCTGAGCTTGCATTTGGGCAGAGGGAAGTGCCAGAGTCCTGTGGGTTGAGATCCTGGAAAGAATGACTTCCAGCGAGAACATGAATGGTGGAAAGAAAAATCCATGAAGATCAGAAAGCTCAGTGTCTAATACTTGCTGGAGACGTAAGCAAGGAATAAGAGGGAGAAAGCCAGATGAAGCAGCTGGAACCAGAAATCTTGGTTAGGGGATCCGGCAAGAGATGTGATGAGCTGGAAGCACAGGCGCAGGTATATGGTGAAACTTTTCCTGTGGGGCTCAAACTTGAGTATTCTACCTGTGAGGTCTAGAGCCGTTAGGTGGGGCTTGTAGAGTTTGGGTGTTGAAAAGGATTTTAGCTACGATCGGTGAAGCCCCTATATATCCATCAACCTCTCTGCAGCATTTCCAGTGAGGAAAATGGAATCATTTAACAAAGGACTGAGATGGAAATTCCTACTCCAGTCCGTAAAGGCCTTACCCGTGAGTTAGGCTAAATGAAGCAAAATTGAAAAATAAGACTGATTGTTTATAATATAACTGTTTGTTTTGTATCCAGCAGGACCTGCAATTATGTCTGCATAATTTTCTTGTACCTTAACAAGGTTAACTGTGGAATTGATTTTTAGATTTTCCAATAGATATAAACATGGCTAGGTAGAAGTAAAAAGGCAACGCTGTACTCCCAAAGTCAAGATCTTTATAGAGAGGTCGTTCATTTTAGTGATGGGACTTGTAAGCTGTAGTGAATGAATGCCTGTGGTATTTCTATGTGAAGAAAATTTGATGGCTTTATCGCATCTTTAGACTTTAACTTTTATTTTGAACAAAAATTTATGCATCTAAAACATGTCAAGAAACTATTCAAAATCTGAATTTTATTCATATATAAATATTGTAGTTTGAGGATGTCTAATTCACATTCATAACTCAGATAATGTAAGGAATGACCAATGATTCTGAAATAATTCCTTGAAACATGGCTTTTTCTTTTTCTCTTTCTTTCTTTTTTTCTTTTTTGAGACAGGGTCTCACTGTGTAGGGCAGGCTGGCCTTGAACTCACTGTGGAGCTAGGCTGGCTGAGACCTTCAACTCTACCTCAGCCTCCCAAGGGCTGGGATTATAGGCATGCACCACCAGGCCCAGTTTATAACTTTTCTTAAATAGCAAACTCCTTTGCTGTAATCCCAACATCAGTTTATACAGAACCATTTCCTGCCAGTCTGCAATTTATGAGAAGATATTACGTGTCACAAATTGATTCTAAATGAGTTGTTTGGAGTCCAGAAACAATTGTATCAAAGAATGTTCAACTAGTTAAAACCACAGGTGCTCCACAGGAAATATACTAATTAATCTGTGAGGCAAATTTGCTAATCTATTTTCAAACCAAAAATAGTTTTAAAATTGGATAAAAGCTACAAACATACCATCTAAACAACTCTGCCTGATACGACATCTATCTATCAATCCATCTAATCTATCATAAGGGCCCAGGAGCCCACTCAAAGGCAGAGGATACTAACAGCCATAAATAATAATAATCCTTTGGGACATGGTATACTGTATTCTCCTCAAGTGCTTAACAGAAAAGGGGATTCTTCATTTCCCATACAGCTAAGAGTGAGAGTCACAGAGTTCTCCTAATTTAAAAAATTCACCAATGCAGTAGAATCTATGGTGGGGTAAGGGACTTTTTATTTCTTGGAGGGTTGGGCAGGAGAGGTGACAAGCAGGGATGACCACCACTCCCCAAAGCCCCTGGCATTTGAATACATACCCAAGGCCATCACCTTTTCACGTCAGTCCCCGCAAGGCCTACCCTGCCGTTGATCAATGTCTCAACTCATTCCTCTTAAACCATGGCTCTCCTTCATTTTCCACTAGACAAAAACTCCTTTTCTACTTTCCAGAATACATGGCTACGTCTGTTAGCAACAGTGGTCAACCAATGAAGTGTGCAGCAGGCTCTGGTACTTTCTCTCTCTTCCCTTTTAGGTTCGGTGGGGAAAGGGAGACAGAGCAGTGAAAAGCTGCTGCTGAGTGCACAAGTGTCTTAGGTATGCCTAAAGCAGGGCCGTGCGTTTTGGAAATTCCGTCAGAGTGGATCAGAGGTGCAGGTGAAAGAGATGCACCAGGCGTGGGAGGGAGGAGGGGGAGGAGTCTGAGCAGGTCACAGCCAACTCCATTAAGTAGAGAAAGAGGGAACAATAAGAGTGGGAAGGCTGCAAAGGTGGGCCACGGGGGAATGGATATGAGCAAAATATATTATGCACATGAAACTCTCCACCCCAAAAATTGAAACTATGGGAGAAGGCAGGGGAAGGGGGTGGCAGAGGTGGGGTGAAAGTGATTAAAGCATGCGATGTGCATGGATGATCTGCCAAAATAAACCCATTAATCTGGATAACCAATGCACAATGAGTGGAAAAAGTAAAAAAAGAAACACTCTCACAACATACATATGATTTATACTTTAAGTCTCTTTTCACTATTGACAGTCTCGTCATTGTGATCTGCCCTA